GTGGGGGGAGCAGGGAGGGATAGCATTAGGAGATATACCTAATGTAAGTGATGAGTTAATGGGTGCAGCACACCAACATGGCACATGTATACATATGTAACATACCTGCACGTTGTGCATGTGTACCCTAGAACTTAAAGTATAATAAAAAAAGATAATAATAATAATAAATAAAAAGTCAGACTAAATGTGTGCTACCTACAGGTAATATAAAAGGTTAAGCATAAAAGGATGGAAAAATATACACCATCCTAATACTAGTCAAAAAAGTTGGAGTGGCTTTATTAAAAACAAAGTAGACTCCAGGACAAAGACTATTACCAGGGATAAAGAAGGGTACATCATAATAATGATAAAGCAGACAGCTCATTGAGTAGAAAAAACACACATAAATTTTGCTCCTAAAAGCAAAGCTTCTAAGTATGGGAAGAAAAATCCATTAGATTAAAAAGGAGACAGATATACAATTATAGTCAGATATTTCAATATATCTATCTTGGTAATTGATAGAACAAACACAGAAAAGCAACAGGGTATAGCAGATTTGAGCTACATATCAACTTACTTGATCTCATTTATATTTGTGGAACACTCTCCTCAATGACAGTAAAATTCATTTATGTGGACAGGGGATACTTAACCAGTATGGGCCATAAAACAAGTCTCAATAAATGTAAGAGGATTCAAGTCATACAAAGCATGTTGACAAAAATTGAATTAAATTAGAAATCAATAACAGCTGAGTATATATTGTCCAAAGTAGTACAAATTTGAAAAGGTATGAATACTAAGGTAATTGAAACTATGTAATGTTTGAAAAATTCCTGTATTAATTATAATATTCTGTTATATCCTAAAGGGTAAAACAATAACATACACATGTTAAAGCAAAATACCAATTTTGTAGTAAGCAAAAAAAATTTTTAAGCTATTTATGTTGACTAAACATTTGAATAAAGAGAAGGAGAATAATTATATTTAAGTATATTCTGATACTTTAATCAATTTCCTAATCAATATCACCATTCTTTTTAAGTGTTTTCTTTCAATGTGGTCTATTATTTTTAAATTTTGATAAAATTTTATGCAATCTTCAATGTTGGACTTTATGTTTAGTAAACTCAAAATTATAGCTACCTTCAAATGACTCTTCTCTGAACACCATTCTTTTTAAGTTGAGATATATCTCTGCATATACTAAGGTAACCAGAAGTCTCAGAATATATCCAGTGAAATGGAAGATATCCTCACAAGTATTGTGAATATTGAATATGGAAAAATTAGATTGCAGTTAATATTCTAGCAGTTAATGTATCTTGCCTTCAAAGTACATCTCTTTTTTTGCCACCTTGTCTAAGAAGGGTACATTTCTTTGAGAATTATCTTTACAAGGCAAACATAAAGGTTCTATTTATGATTCCTTTGAATGTTAAGCCAAATTTAGATGCTGCAGTAACATAAGGCTTCTCAACTGCACTCCATTCTGACACAAATTGCAAATTGATCCAGTTAAAAATTGGAGCATCACCAAAAGACTATTCCCATAGCTGAAGAAATTCCTAAGTAAAATTGAAGAATTTCAAAATTAAATCCTGTATGCCATCTGATATTTCATGACTTAATTCATTCAGTTTCTCGCTTAATTTATAGGACTAAATCCCATTGTCTTCATGTTGGCAAGTTCTGATAACTGAAATTCAGTTGAATTTCTATGTTGAATGGAGTGGTAAGAGAAGGCATCTTTGTCTTGTGCCAAATCAATGCAATCTTAAACAGCCAAAGGATTAAAGAACAAATACAAAAATTTAGAAAATATTTTCGATAAATACAAATAAAAACACATGTTACCAAAGTTTATGATATGCTTACTACTAAGAGAAAAATTTATAGCTCTACATGCCTATATGAAAGAAGAAAGATGTCAAATCAATAACCCAACTGTACAACTTTAGGAATTAGAACACAAAAAATAAGAAAACTAGTACCTTGAGCAGGGGGGAAAACATAGCTCTTAGTAACAGCATGGGAAGTTTCCTAGCTACACGAAGCAATTCAGACACATCAAGAAAAGCCAAGAGTACAGAATCAATTTATACTGGAAGAAAATATAGCTTTTCTTGACCTGCAAGATAAACATTTCAGCAATGGGCCATAACAGTAGAATTAAAACCGGGAGGGGGAAATTTACAGGAATTGAAAAAAAAAGGTGGAAC